AACTATGAGATTTGGGTCTATTTATACAAAACAAAGTGTGTGTGTGTGTGTGTGTGTGTGTGTGTGGCAAATCATCAAAAAACCTCCATTTGGGGACGTCCTTATTTGTAAAACTGGTATAAAAATAAAATTAAAAAGTTTTTTTTTTAATTGTAAAAATGCAGAAAGTTTTCTGTGAGGGGTAGGGTTAAGGGTAGGGTTGGGTTTAGGTTAAAAAGTGTATAACTATCTGTATATAAAAACAATAGAAGTCTTTTTAATGTCATTTATAAATTTTGTCATATATTTAATATGGGTAAGCAGGGTAACAAGAACACAATGGGCAAAGAATGTATTTTTTTATTTTGTCATGTATTTAATATGGGTAAACAAGAACACAATACACATTACACACACAATACACATCCACAAGACACATTATGAAGGTGGATTTTATATTGGGGTAAGTTATCACATGGGTTTTGTAGAACAGATTACTTACACATTCTTAAGGCTAAATATTTTTATATTGCTTTTTATAAATTTAGCTTTTTCATGCATGACGTTTGGTGTTTTCTAATTGTTTTACTGTTTAATTTTTACTAAAAAGCCTATAATAGAATATTTCATGGCATTATTTAATTTCAACTTAGCCCATATAGTGTGATAATATGTTCCATTATCAGGCATTCCATTGTCGCAAAATGGGAGTTCAATAGACCTTTTTTTCTTCCTTTGACAATACTGACAAAATTCCCAAAGAGAAATAACCAGTGTATTAAAAACTTTGACAACTAGCCCCAGTCTTGCTTTTAGTTACATACTGTAGTAATGTGAGTTTCTGTTTACATACTGTTGTAAGACAACTACAACATGGTAATATAACTTTTTTTTTTAAGTAAATAAAAGTAAAAAGAAAATATAGTTTGGTCAGTGCAGTGTAAATACTCAGACCTCTGAGTCTCTATTGGAATAATGTTTGTTCTATAGGCTAGTTGTCTTTAAAATACCAGGAACATGTTACTGCAATGGAAGACATTCATGGCAGCTCAGTCTTAAAGGTGGTGAATTACAGTGAAGCAGCTTTCATGTCTGCAGAGGAAACCAAACATGACAATCACTGCAACCACCCTGACTCTCAAACCTCCAGCATAAAAATGCTTCGCATTTTCAACAACATGAGAGTCTGTATGAGTTTATATCAGAATTGCAAGTTTATACCTCGAAATTGTAAGATTTAAAGAAGCAATTCTGAGAAGAAATGTCAGAATTGTGAGATATAAACTTGCAAATGTGAGAAAAACTTTAGAATTGTGAGATAAAAAGTCGCAATAACCTTTTTTTTTTGTTTTTATTTCATAAAAAATAAAGAATTGTGAGATAAACTGAGAATTCAGAGAAAAAAGTTAAAATTGGGAGATAAAACTCAGAATTCTGGGGAAAAAAAATCAGAATTGCAAGATGTTTATTTCGAATTCAGAGAAAAAAGGTCAGAATTTATATCTTACAATTCTGTGTTTATATCTTACAAGTCAGAACTGAGAGAAAAAAGTTTGAATTGTCAGATTAAACTCAGAATTGTGAGGAAACAAGTCAGAATTGTGAAATAAAAACACTTTTTATTTTAATTTTTTTCTTTCTTTCTTTCTTTCTTTCTTTCTTTCTTTCTTTATTTTTTAATTCCACAAGCTTCAATATATTATAATAGACTGTTAACCCGCATTTCATTAGACATTACCCACCAATTTGACCTACAGTACCTTCACTGGCCCCCAGGGGTCTGCAAATACCCAAATGAAAAACCCTAAATACTACAGAGAACACAGAATAGATGAAGCTTTCTTTCTTTCTTTCTTTCTTTCTTTCTTTATTTTTTAATTCCACAAGCTTCAATATATTATAATAGACTGTTAACCCGCATTTCATTAGACATTACCCACCAATTTGACCTACAGTACCTTCACTGGCCCCCAGGGGTCTGCAAATACCCAAATGAAAAACCCTAAATACTACAGAGAACACAGAATAGATGAAGAGAAATATGTATATCCACACAATTTCCTGAAGTACTGTTGACAAGATTTTAATGAACAAGATATGTCAGCATAAAAGGAGCAAATTGTCTAATCTCTCCAAAACCCCTTGCATTGCAAATGTCAAGCAAATCTCATCGTGCATTTGCATAAATCATTTAGACACATGCATTATGCCTTAATTGTACTTTACTCGCATACAGATATAATTCAATTTTATTAATGAATAAACTTTATGACTTCATGTTGTGATTTGTTTGTCTTACCTAGGCTGCCATTTAAAGAGGAAGACTCACCAGTAAAAAGCCTGCCTTGGGACACGTGGATATTGCTGGCCACTCTCTAAGGCCAAGGAATTATATGTCCAGTATCCAGATGGGACTGCATGGAGTGTGACTGCAGGATAAATCTAGGGAGGTTTGTAAACGTGGCTACGTGCACATCAGCCTTATGTAACACGTCTCTGAACAGATTTTGCAGGGGCACAATCAAACGTGGCTTGGCTTTTGCCATCTGTTTACCCCTTTGAGCTTGATCATTGCGGCTTAAAGGCTGGTTGTATTTCACCACAGCAGTCTGTGTGTGCCCAGAAGAATGAATCAGTTAGTTACTTCTGTCAAGCTTGATGCTCCAAGCTCTGAAATGATCAATTGGTTGAATTCAGTCAGGTTCAGCCTCTGTTTTGAGGTTCTATGCTACAATTTATGAAACATTAGACATTTTGGGGGCGGCTGTGAGCAACCAATAACCGATAATAATCACATGGATGTGGATAACAGTCTAAGGGCATCAATTATAAACCAAGAATAGGAATAGAAATAGAAATATAAGATAATTATTTTTTCCATCCAAACATGGAAGTTTCAGTTATGACAGCAGTTAAACTAAAAAGGTAATGTGAATAAAATAAAAGTTAAAAAAGAGTGAGTGAGTGAGTGAGTGTGTGTGTGAGTGAGTGAGTGAGTGTGAGTGAGTGAGTGATTGAGTGAGTGTGTGAGTGAATACAAATAAGATAATGAAAGTGAGAACTTCTATAAATAAGTGTAAATGGGAATATGAATAAAAAAATAAAACTAAAAGAAATATAAAATATTATATGCATAAAATCTACAGATATTGAGGTTAATATAATGATATTTTTCATCCCAACATGTAAATTCAGGTAAGGTCGCAGCTTAAAAGTTACAATGCAATACAATAAATAAAATAAAATTAAATAAATAAAATTAAATAAAAATAATAAATTAAATCACCAAAAATCCATGTACATTTTCAATTAATTTTCAATCTACACTCAAACTGTTACGTTGGTTATATAAATTATAATAAAGCCAATGTATTAAAATAGAAAAGAATGCAAAAAGAAGCCTTTTCACTAGTGACCCCAGACTTTTGGAGCCCACTGTATGTATGCATGAGCAGCTCTCAGAGCTGACATGAGTATAAGTGACTACCAGACGTATAAGTGACTACCAGACATGCACATGGAGCAATTATTTTCAAAATGATCCTTCTTCCTGAAGCCATATACACAGACATCTAACTGTGCCACTGGCTAAAGGCTGATTAGCACACTCACCTGCCAACTCTGTCTGCACATCAACGGCTTTAGTAGATTAAAAGGATTAAAACATCACTAGTCCTGGTTATCTTGATTAACCACAGGATCAGGATATGGAAATGTGACCTAGTGTCACGTAGCACCAAATTTAAATATAAAATGAATTTTTTGTCTCAGGAAGCACAAAGTAAATTATCATAACTTTGGTATTTGCAATTAAAATGAGACGGCAAATTACTGAAGAAATGCACAGTGATTTATTTATTAAATGGAAATAATGTGCATTTTTAGAGCCGTCATTTTAAAAGTTTAAACCAATTGTCATGTACCATTAGTGATGCACAGAAAATGTCAAATATGAGTCTGACAGCTGGGTCATAGCAGGTATTTTGCATGAACTATTCAAATTAATTCAAAGAATTACAGATTACAAATTGGAAACTTATATGTTACGCACCATATGATATCACCTATTTGACACGTAGGCATGCTAAGACATCCCAGGACTGAAGCTAAATAATCCTGTTTACAGAATGCGTCCCACTCAACTTTGCATTCATTCATTTACTGCCTCCAGCAAACCAAGGGATCAGGCTCCTAGCAGTTATAATTGTATCTACATCACACACTTCATGCATGATTCAAAAACATCCTCTGGGTTTATAGGAAAGAGACAGGGCCCTGAAGTGTCTCTTGATGTGTGTCTGGCTCCGCTGCCCTGGTTTCATTCATGATTTGAGCTGTGTTTCTCCAAGCAAGTAAAAACTAGGAAATTGCTAGAATTAGGACAGTCTGTTCTTTTACTGGATTCACAGGCCCAGGCTATTTTGATGTATACTGGGACTATACGCTGTTATGAAACAGAGCAAATCGGCCATTCAGGTTTTTGGCTCATCCAATATATGCAAAAGATAATATCGGAAATGAGTGGATGGTAATCTATTTATTTGGATTAAAATGATGTAGACCACAGAGATGTCAGTCATTTAGCATCTAATCAAGGTGGAAGGAAAAGATGTGTGCGCAACTGCCTGCGCTTGTCAAATAAATTCATATATTTCATAACCTGAGGAGATTTACAGCATAATGTCTCGTTAAACAGAATTAGGTTAATCCAGATCCTAAATGGCTGCCAGCCTTGACAGTGACACTGACTGACACTTAGCCTGTGCAGTCACATGTCAAGTCAAAGGAGCAATTACATTAAGACGTTTCTTATTTTACATAAACGCGTTTCGCTTTGGGTTTCACTGCAAATAAGCTTCCCAGACGACGCTGGCTGATGCTCTTCTTTGGCTCACAGCACATACGAGGCACCTTGTTTTCCTGAATGAAATCGTACGCGCTCGCTATTAATAGCACCGGCACTATGACGTCACAATGGAAGCCGCATCTGACTCGCGACAGATGATGATTCTTTCAAAGAGCCTCGCGATCGAGAAGGACGCACTATCCCCGCATGCTTATCAGTCTGTACGCTTGCAAATATATAGGAATTAACTTTTCTCTTTGCTCACAGACGGGAACGTAGTGGCGGTTAGGAGATGGTTTTGCAGCATTCGCCCAGCTAGCGACGAGCGTTTGTTCTTTCATAACATCAGCGAGCTGCAGTCACTGCATACTGAACTGACTTCTTACAACAATAAACACACGCATCACAAAGACACGGTACGTATGCTTGCGTCCACTGTGTGATGGCTTTTGTTTGCAGGGTGGCGCCCTCATGGAATTCATCAGCATGCACCCTTGTAGGAGAGTTGATCAACTTCTTAAAAAGATACAACGATGTATCGTTTTTATATAATGTATATTTTTTTGTTTATTATGAAATTATTTCCCAAAATTAAATGTTATGGAGCAATGTCATTCTCAATGCATTACAGCTGTGGTAAAACTGCTTTCCAAGTTCATACCTTGTTGTTTGCATTTTGCAGAATATGAGCATACATAGCCTATTCTTGTGGTAGTATATATAATTAACTGGTTTTATTCAAATTAATAATAATAATATTAATAAAGAATCAACCTAAGGAAATAATTCTTAAGGGTCAGGTGTGATGGAAATAATGCCTTGCAAAGGCACCTGCATGCATCCATTTTTTACTGTGTGCATAAATGTTGTGTATATTTACATTATAATTTATGCACTGTCATATCTCTGATTCTGGGGTGCTTTTTTTTTAGTATGACTGTGCTGCAAGTTCAAACTTCGATGCAACAGACACTCCACATTTATGTGCTCTAAATAAAAAAAAAACCATTATGTTATGACATATCTTTTTTTCTTACCGTCCATTTACCTTGTCCATTTCTACTTGATTTTCAACTTTGTTTCAACTTGGCTTCATCTGTAATTGGATGTGGTTGGAAAAGGTGCACTTAACCTGGCACCATTTTGACTTTAATAAAGCATTTAAAGGGGTTATATGATGCGATTTCAAGTTTTCCTTTCTCTTTGGAGTGTTACAAGCTCTTGGTGCATAAAGAAGATCTGTAAGACTAAGTCTAAAAATCCAAAGAGATATTCTTTATAAAAGTTATGTTACACCAAATACACAAAATAATGATCTTTAAAATAGCATCAGATGACCCCTTTAAGGCAGCAATTAAGTTTTCAATAGTGAGTAGATTTTTTTTTTTTTTTAGTTTTGCTCAGTATTTGAACTTATTCCAGCTAAAAATGTATTATTTGATTACAGAGTCCTAGACTTAAAGTTACATTGTAACAGACCCTGACGAATACCAAATAATCTGTCCTCAATCTGTATGTTAATAGATTTCAACATAAAAGATGAGTGGATAAGACTGTGTGTTGGTCATGGAGTGCCTAGATATGCTATGAATAGAGGTCCATGAATGGATGCCTTACTCCAGTGTTTAATTCATAAGTTTACATATAGCTGACATATGCTGTTTAACATGAAGTTGAGATTGCTTTTTGAGGTTTAGAAAATAAAGTCTCAGTTGATTTTTCAGACAATGACAATGTCACCTCGCCTTTAAAAAAAGATCCAGTGGAAGAAGTAAGGTGTGAAGGTGAAAACTAGAGATGAAAACTGCTGCATTTTGCATAATGCCCTTTATTGGAGTCTCTCCAGTTGTTTCACTAATTGGAGTGATTAAATACCATATCAGTAATTTAATATTGTATTATGTAATGAAATGACACACTGCATCTGACAAGAAAGTCATATGGGTTGGGTTTTGTCCAGCTCAGCAGG